TGTGAGCTGATCTCCCAGGGTATTGTGGTTTAAAGGCTCTAGCCCAAGCACAGCGGTGGCATACCCAGGCCCCCTGTGCCTGACTGCAGCGGGGAGCGGTCTGGGGACATCTCTGTGGTCTGTATGGCTTTCCTCCTGCAGGAAGAGAGCTGCTCTGGTCCTGGCGCAAGTTAGTTCATTTCCCTTTCACTTGTAGTAGACTCCTTCAGCTCTCTCCTGCCTTCCAGATAAGACATCTTACCTTGCAATTAGCCTTTTCTTCCTCAGAAAGAATCACTTAATTTCTGGATTATATTTAATTACTTTTCATTCAGCTTTCTCAGCCATTCCCACAGCAAAATAGGATTAGTAACACCTGAACCTTCTTTTCCCAAATGAATGAATATAAGAAATTGGCTCCTCAAAAGAAAAACACTATTTACGCACCACAGTATGTGACAGAATCAAAAACTAGCTAAGTATTTAGAATCTGCAAATGTCACTTCAAAGAGTTAATTATAGTTCTCGGTCTCTGTGTCAACTTTCCTAAATAATCAATAGTGTGGATGAGATCACGGAGGAAGATTATCCTTAATGCTATTACTGTTGAAGTCCATGATAATCATAATACAGAAGTTTCCCTGTTCTGTAGAGAAGGTATTCTCAGTGTGTGCAGTTAATTCTGGAAAGTATTCTGAAATATTCCACTCCAAGTGAAAGTAATTGTTTTGGAGTTACCATAAAGCAACATTTTGATTTTATTTTATTTTTCCTTGCAAAATAATGGTGATGAAAGTTCTTAATGAGCACTGTGAATCCTAGGACCTAGTGCATGCTTTATCTCCCTTAATCCTCACTCTAACCCTGTAACATGGTACTTACACTCAGTTGATAGGTGAAAAAATGGAGGTGCACACTTGTCTTGCCAAAAGTCACAGCTAGTAGGTATTGAAACAGGTTTGATTCCATATAGTCTGACTCCAGACCTTATCCTTTTAAATCTCGTGTGTGCCTGTGTTCCGGCAAAGTGATGTTCATTAATCCTGTTCCTAAAATCTGAAATCTTTTGTTTTGTCCAGGTTTAAACTTATGACTTTATCAAATCAGATTCCGTATGGTTCTGTGACACATTTTTCCTAAAAGTAATTCGTTGAGATTAAAATAGTGATTCTGCATAGCAACTTGGCTTTCATCTGTGGTAGTAAGAGGCCATGTAGGTATCTAACATGAGTCTTATAATTGTTATTAAACATCCTTTTGTCCTCTGCATTTTGTCTGTTATTGTTTTATGTGTGTGTGTATGAAGAAGTTGAAAGATATTTTAAAATGTCATTTTAAAATGTTTGAGGACAACTGACCACTGGTTACAGAGAGCACAGTGACAGAAATGAAAAACAATGAAGAAAGCTCCTAACTAATTCAACGTATTTTTTTTTTTTTTTTTTGGACCCATATGAAAATAGTCCTTTCACCATTTGGTTCTCAAAAGGAAATAGACAGTGGTGGTGTTACTTTCTGTTTCTCCTCGGAAAACTCAGGCAGTGCACGGGGTACAGTAGCACCAGCAGGGGAGGGAACTCCTATCTCCACTAAATGCCTATTTCCCTCCCCCATCTTGATTTCAGGTGTCAGAAACTATTTAAAAGAAGCATTGGTGAATATAATTGCCGTGCATGCAGAGGTAAGCTATCATTACATGTTCCTAAGAGATACAGATAACTGGAAAAAAGAAAGACACAAATTTGATGACTTTTATGGTGGTCTTTTTTTCTCTTCCAAATGTATATTAGATATAAATAAAACACAACCAGGCTTTCTCGCCTGCAGGCCTGGGCTCTTTCTCGCTCCCTCCCTCCCTTATTCCTTCCCCTCTCTTTCTCTGTCATATATGTGTTTAGCTGTCTTTTTTTCTGAAATTGTACATGTTTCTCTGATAATTAAAACTAAATTTATTAATACGTGAGAGGTGAAGACAAAGTAGACTGAAAAGGTGTCTTTCCTTTGAAGAGTGTTGAATCCACTGCCTTGGAAAGTGCATTGACCTCTTGTGAGTGAGTATACAGATGAGCACTGGTGTCTCATTCATGTAGCAGTGCGGTAGCTCACAGTAGTTGGGATTCCAGAAAGGTAGAAGCTGGTTAGAATGAGAGTCTCGAGGGCAGCTGCAGCTGGGAAGCAGATGCATGGTTTCCTGTCAGTGGTTGACTTAGGTTCACGGAGATGTTGCTGCTTCTGGTTCATATGAAAACTTGCCCTCACTTGAAGCATTATCATCTTAAGCTTCACAGTCAGGTCGTTAAGTTAACATCCTTAACGGCAAGGAAGAGAACTCTTCTGAGGAACACTAAAAGTCAAGTCCAGAGCAGACACCATAATCACCATGATGACTACCTATTTTCATTCAGTAATTTCACGACGCATTACTCACTGCTTTGCCAACGCTTTCAGCTGGCTATGGCCGAAAGGCCGACAGGTGACCAGGTAAAGTGGAGCAGAGCAAAGGGATTACTGTTGTTTAATTTCCACAGTTGCTTGAGTGCTTCTTAAGCACTATGCATCCAATAGAGGTCCTCCTTCTGAAAGTATCTGAGGTCATCAGGTAAACTGAAAGAACATGGATAACTAAAACTAAAACCAAAGAGTGATGAAAGAATAAAGATAATGCCGTTTCCTGAATTTAGTTCCAAGTTGGAAGTACCTAGAGCAGAAAGAAGAACTATAGTACGTAACAGTGTTCAGTTCTTAGTGAAAACAAAGCATAACATTCCTTTATAAAAATAAAGTTTTTGTCTGATTTAAGTCAAGCAGGAGTTCATCACATGGATCTTTTTTATAATAAGCAATATTTTAAACTATGATTTTATCAGAAATATTACAATGCTTTTCATATGTTAGCTTTCTATAAAATTAGAGCCTAGGCTCGGCGCCTATGGCTCAAGTGGCTAAGGCGCCAGCCACATACACCTAAGGTGGTAGGTTCGAATCCAGCCTGGGCCCGCCAAATAACAATGATG